GAACGGAATCGTTGGAACCACCGCTTTACTGTTGCATTCGATACTGTATTGGGCCCATAAACAGCACAAATTTTTTTGGCCGCCTGCTCCGCCTTTTCACCTTGGTCGTAGTGGTATTGAAGAATGTATCGAATTTTCTCTTTTTTATCTCCATTTTGGAACACTGTAACACACAACTGGCTTGACCAAACACAAAACTGTCACAGAACTTTTTTGAAGCGTAATGTCACCTTTAAATCGTCGTATAGTATGACCCGATACGATGTATCATCGTGAGATATGGCTAACTAAAGACATCTAGCGGAAAACGCTCAGAACTTTTTACTTCACCTAATATAATACGAATTTAATTTATGTCGATTGCCTCTTAGGGGTAGTATTTGGAATTGCAATTTGCTTGAAATAGCTTTGTTCGACAGTCAGAATGCATAATTCTAAAAATATTCTCGTTTCTTCTTCTCTTTAATTTATAACCCTTTTTATAAGACATTTTACTAGAATATAATTTGAGAGAAACCAACGGTTATCGATAACACCGATTTTAACTAGGTTAGGTTCCCTCCAACATTCGTTTACATCATCATTTGTATCATTTGATACGCGTATTAATTTAGTACGATACTCCTATTTGGTACGCTCGTACCAAATTAATCCGTCAGTAGCTTGGTTTACATCGTGCGTAAATATTTAGTACGAATTTGATACGAATATAATACCTGATACGCATATCAAGTACACGATATAAACCAGGCCAATACTTTATAAACTTGTTTTAAAGATACCTTAAAAATGTTTTAAAGATGTCTTATGACCCGATTTTGGACATGTGCTGTCTGGGTAATTTATAGTACTAGCGTACATTAATTTAGAAGTTTTTTTTTTTAAACGAACGGACCTCTAGGTTCATTCTGAATTAGTGTACACTGATGCAGTAAGTTAGAGTGAAACAAATATATACTTTTTTTCACTCTAATTTATAGCACTAGCGTACATCAGTTTAAAATTTTTTTTTTAATGAACAGACCTCTAGGTTCATCCTAAACTAGTGTACTTTGATGCAATAAGTTAGAGTGAAACAAAATATGCTTAGATCTGTTCTTTTTTTAAGAACTTCCTAAACTAGTGTACATTGGTAAGTTAAAGTATACTTATTTCACTCCAACTTATTGCACTGGTGTACACTAATTCAGGAAGTTCCTCGAAAGAGAACAGAGCACGAGACTCGCAAGACGCGATTTTTGGATAGTAATCGCGCATCGGGCGCGAGGCACTCCGCAGCCTCTGCTGGCTCACGTGGCTAGGCGCGGCTAACGTTTAATTATAATAAGAAGCCGCGAACGCCTTTTGGGAGTCGTAACGTAACGATTACGGGTCACTCCGTCCGGATATTTCTGCACACACGCGCCGGGCGGCACGAGCGAACGATTATGCGACTATAATTAGCTTTTGCCGGTTTACACGATATTTCGTTCTCGGCCGCGTAATATCGTCGAGACGCATCCAAAAGCATTCTTTCGCTTCGCGGCTTGTAACGCATATCCCGGAAGAGAAAACTGGTCCTTTGTTTAGATCTCTCGACTAATCAGGGTTGAGAAGCAAACGCGTCATCTGTGACGTTGTTACCGTTCAAGTTACTTTTTTTTGTAGCAGATTTCGACGTTACTTGGTAACGTCGTGATTTTTTTTTTGTTAATAAGTATGGATGTTAGTTTTTCATCGTTACTTTGAATAAGTAAATATTGACTTCTTAGGTATAACGATAACGAACTTTTGAAAATGAGTAACGGTAAAGACAACGAGAGTTACTTTGGAAAAGTACGATTTTGGCAAAATGAGTAAACGAGATGTCTTTCAAATCAGACAGTAGAGCTTTTGAAAAAGTATCCTTCAGAAAGTGACTCTCCCAGGCTAGCTTCTGACGATTAAATTAAACGAAGGGAACGAGAGGAAAAAGGATATCGCACGAAAAGGGCATAATTGTTTCGCGATCCGCGTACTCACCTGCTTGTGGGGGTACACGTTGATGTGACACTTGATACATTCTTGGCCCATATTGGCCCAGCTGTTCCCCGACATCCACTTGCGCTTACATTTGGGACACTTGTATTCGCCGAAGCATCGCTTTTTACCCTGGTACGGCGTTAGGCCCTCGCCCCTCGGTCGTGCCTGCAGAAATTACGTGAGATTTCAGTTTCCTATTCGCATCGGCGTCGCGTCGCCGTCGCCGCCGCCGCCGTCGTCGTCGTCGTCGCCGTCGGCGCCGTCGCTGCCGCAGCTGCCGTCGCGGACATCGTCGTCGCCGCCGCCGCCGCCGTCGCAGACGCCGTCGCCGTCGCCGTTAACTGCCTGGGCACAAAATGCAATCCGGCTGAACAATTGTATGAGTCACTTGAAGCCCGCGTGCACGTACGGAACGTGTGTTGTTGGTGTCTCGACCGTCCTGTATCGCGTGCGCGTTTTTCCCCGACGAGCCGTTACCCTTTCTCTCCTCGGGAAGAGGATGCTGCAGTGAGCGATCTCTCCCTATTATAGTCATTCTCTCCTTTTCCCTATTCTCGGAGCATCCACATGTTCTCCGCACGAAACCGTCTTGCATTTGCGGAATCATTTCAAAACAATCAACGGTGCCTCACATTCGCCAATTCGAACTGTCCCGGACTCGCGCCGATCGCGATGAGGGTAAATGCACGTTTGCCTCGTTCTCTGCGTTCTCTTTTAAATCTAATTCGCAGGTATTATCGATTGGTTTGATCGATCGTAGATAAGAAGTGCTGATAAAGACCGCGCAGACCCGATAATTTCTTTTTGTTCAGTTATATCGCGTATGCTGACTCACGGATTATAACAAAGTACGCGGAAGATAATCACGCGGAACACCCGCAACACGTACGTATACGTTGCACACAGTTTCAGAGAAAAGGCTCTTAAGTCGTTATTCCTGGAAAAGCGTTCGGTTATCTTGATAAACATTATTTCTTGCCACAGTATTCTGTGACTATTTTTTCTTTGACAAAAAAGAAATTGAATGCATCATACGAATAAATGCAAGAGAAAGATACGTAATCAGAAAAGGTGAATAAAGGCCAGTGAGAATCGAATACCGGTCTTGTGAGGTGAAATAAATATTGCGTCAAATGGAAATACGAAAGTAAATGAACGTTTCTCTCTCTCTTTTCCGTATAAAATTGTATATATTCTTTAGACTATTTGTATACCGCGTTGATTCCAAACATTAAGGCCAAGATGTTCGTTTGTTTTTGCAGATATTGTCATTTGATGTAATATCGTTTCATCACAAGGCCGGTATTTGGCTCTTGTCTGCCTTTAATTACTTTTCCCATAGAATGCAGTATATTCTATATCGGCTTCGTGATTGATTACAATGACAAAGCGATATTCGAACGTCCATTGTTGCATTCCTCACGTCGCTCGCGTCTTAGCAACGCGTAAGTATCCGCGAGAAAAATTCAAGGACCGAAAATTCGAAGATAGAAAGTCGGGCGTCTCCGCTGCGAAAATCAAGCCAGGTCGTTGCCAAGATCCGCGTGTCTAAAACCCGGCGGGCAATTTGAGCAATTTTTAATTAGCCCGCGACAGATTGCGAGAGAGCCGTTTCTCTGCGAGCGAGATTCTACGTGCGCTTTATTCGCGCGGGCCTAATTGTCTCACTCTCATCGAGCATACCGCGATGATTGACCATGTGACGTCATGTGTCCCAAAGACGCTGTTTGTCATGTCAATTAGCGTTCAATTGAACCGCGCGCATCGCGCGTCGAGGCACGCGTATCGTTCGCGGATGTCGCGAAATTTCTCTCTTTGCGATCATTTCGCATACGATTTGCCGTTAAATCGTTTGGAAAAACTGTGTCAAGTACGCGTTCTCTCAAGAACGAATTCGAACATAAAAAGGCAAATATGGGCCTTGTCACAAGTTATTAGCGTGCAATTAAATTCCACTCCGTAAGTCCATCCGGAGGAAGATGGAGAGTGCGATCCATTACACACTACAAACGCTTCGAAGCGCTTATGGCCGGTTTCACCAACATCGATGAAGTCTTAACGCGAATTTGAACTGCTTCAGACAAAGACTTTGACTCGGGTTAAGGTTTAATCGATGTTTAGGGACATTGGTGGAATCAGGCCTTAGAGAAGAAGATTGGTCCGTATGGCGCTTCAAAGCATTTGTAGCGTCTAATATACTCAGAGAGAAAAAGAGAGAGATATATTGTCACATTTTGATTTTATATTAATATTCTATTTTTTTCAACGATAGAAATTTCAAAAAGATAAAAATCAGCCAAGTAAAAAAGAAATTGGCAAAACAGAAATAAAATGTGCGAGATAGAAAATTCAAATATTATTTTCTAAATATTTATACGAGACGAATTATCTATATATTATTATTATATTGCACACAAATTACGTTATTTTTAATAATATTATATTTTTGTGAATATCGAATTTAGATATTCTAATCGCCTTGAGATGTTTCGCAAAGTGTGAATTTGGAACAGTAGCGATCAAGTTTATGACCCACTTCGTTACTAGTCCAATTAATCCCTGTTCTATTCTTTCCGCTCGCGATTCTATCGAGTCAGTGACATATCTTATCCTTATGACGGAAATCTGTGAAGATATACTTAGAGCATTGTCATTTATTGTGCTGCAGCGTAATTTTCCACGATAACGAATAAAAGTTCTCGATGGACGTGCGCCGCGCACGCGTTACGTTCGGGCCAGTTGGCGGACTGCAATCGCGTATTGAAGTCGGGAGTGACGCCGGAAAATCATGAGATTTACGTATCCGGAAATATTTCAATCGATTTCAAGCGCTATGCGAAAGTTTGAAATTCTCCAAATCTAATTTCAAGCTCCAGCTTGCAACTGCAATCGGTCTTTTGTCCGAGCTTTTAGTTTACTAACTGTCCCAAAAATCACTGGCTCCGAATCACTCCCGGATAAATTAGTTGAGAGCTTGTTATCAATTTCATAATGCAATACATGGAAAATATCCCGCGATATTTTCGGAATTAGCCGTGTCTAAGTAATTTTGCTTCGAAACATTAAGATCTTTGGATATAAATATTAATTTAGCTTCGAGATTTTGTTTCGATGTATCACACGAGACAAGGAAGAAAGAAAAGTATCGCTTTTCTTGTTGAGATCACAAAGAATCGAAGTTTAGAATACGCACGAGGATTCTGGGACATGAGCCTTGAAGATTCCAGAACAAGAACTGAGTACCGACATTATCTTGCTAGAAATTCCACAACGATCTATCGCATACGCCTTTATTTTATGATATCGGTGTTTACACAAATCGGTTTTTTTTCGGTTATGCAGCACCGACATAAACCGATATGAGGACAATATTTTTTATAACGACTTCAATTTTTGTTCTGGAATATTATTGTCGCGGGAAAGTACCGACCTGCGGACAATCCTTAATGTAATGGCCTTTCCTAAAGCACAAATGGCACAGATATGTCGGCGGAGGTCTTCTGGTGGATCTTCTATCGCCTATGGCTAATTCACTTAATTGTTCTGTTAAGTCTGTTACGCTTCCTATCGCATTACTTCTGCCGGGCCTCACTCCAGAGGTTCCAGACGTGCTCGGCTGCAGATAAGACGTCGACGGTATCGCAGGAAAATTGTTCCACATCGCAGGAAGTAACTTGCTCTAAGTGCGGAATTCAAAATATTATCTCTCGGAAATTCTTCACAAACTTCACCTTGGATCTGTTCGTTTTGTATTCGAGCACAATTGAACTCCGACAAGTATAGCGTAGTAAATAAGAGATGTATTATTCAAGTCACTCTCTCCTGTAAATGTTCCAACGTACGGAATTCCTACGACAGAATATCCAGCAGTACTATTATATAAGCAGTCTAACACGAGGATTCCGATCTTTACTGAGATGTACGAGCGAATGCTCGGAGAAACTAAGCGAGAATGAGAAGATACTAGTCGGAGAAGCTTTTAAAAACCTTTGGAAAATTTCTATTGTCGACAAGGATTCAAAAGAAAGGGAAAAAGGTGGAGCTTAGGGATTCTCCGAGAATACACTTTCAAGACAGTTCGTGATTCGAAAATACAAATGGTCCTTCACCTCATTTGTCAAAAAAACTCGTCGAAACTCACAACAAAAGATCCAAGGTAAAAGTGCTTTAAAATACATTTTGAATTGTTCGATCTGGATTCCGAATTAATGCGCGTGTCTTTCATGGATTCGTTTTCGAAGTTTCGTGAAAACTTTTTGAAAGTTTCTTTTTGAAAGATTCTTTCTCTCCCCCGAAGAAATAAAGAATGTTCGTGAAATGCACGAGGAACCAAATCGGAAACCAGCTCAAGCATTTCTCCACACCACGAAAGCCTCAAGTATTATACGTAAAGAAAAGTTTCGTTGAATTAAATAAATTTCCAGTAAGATATGAACGAATCAGACATTCTGGTTGAAGTTATCAGAATTCTGTTCAAGTTAACAACCCAGTGAAAAATGATTCGTTGATTGACGTCAAAATGATATCAAAATGACGTCGATTTGACGATTTCAACGTCAATTTGATTTCTTGAACAGAATTCTGGAGACATCAATCGGAATTTCCTAATTCGTTCATATTTCTTATCAGGAATTAATCAATCCAAATAAACTTTGTTTGTTTTCCGTGCAAGTAAGTCGAAACTGTTTGTGAAGATAATTACCTGATCGGACGACTGCGGTGAATTATGCTCGGCGACAGTTAAGTACACCCAATTGACCATTTGCGGCGAGTAATTCGAAGAAGTAACTTGATGATGAGAGATTTTCGGATTCGGAGCGTTCATACCGTTGATCGCCCTGTAGCCGATCCGACTCGAATCTTGCATCGGCAGGCGTTGGACAACAGATGTTGGATGGCAAGAGACCATATCTCTTCTCTTCATATCGCTGTCGCGGATCTGCGATTTATTATCACGACTCCCGATCACGGTATCGCTGTTTCACGTATCACCGGCGACTCGCCACGACAATAGTTTTTCATTTCCCCGCCGTTCAACCCTAGCAACGGTCTTTCCATTCAGTTCGTCGCACGGCTGTCGCCGAAGTTGGCCTTTTCCCTTCGAGCGAATTATCTACGTCGATTGCAAAATTGTTAGAAAGACTTTTGAAATTGTTAAGTCATAAAAGTATCAGCACGTGGAGGTAGTCGACAACGAGCGAAGACCCACATCTTCAGCGAGGGGACTATTCGTCGAGTCACTGCGACTTTCTTTCCCGAAGAAACTTGAAGAAGACCAGCCTTGCTTGATCTGGCTGCTTGAACTACCTTTCCGCCTCTTCTTCCACTAATCGCGTCATTTCTCTCGCATTTTGCTGTTCGCAGTTCTCGCGAACTTTCGTATTTGCGAGTCTCACAACGCGAAGTCACATTCGACGAGCACTTCCGGTCGGTCAGACACCTCCGAACGAACTCTCAGCCTTTGCTGAGATCGCGAAGCGACGTTTTTATCCGCCCTCACGCACACACTCATGCACGTTGGCTCGTCGAGTCTCTTCATGTGTTATCCGCGATGTGTATTCTCGTTATGAAAGCGCCTGGTCTTCTTCTTCTTCTTCCTCTTCTTCTTCGGGTCCTTCGCTCGGCAACGATATTGCTTCGAGGCGCGGGCGGCAATAGCTCGTCGTTGAAATTATCGCACCCCAGTTCGACGGATATTAATTAATCGATATCGATATTTATTTTCTCGTCAGCTTCAACTCGAACGAGAAGACGCGGAATTGCAAATTTGGCCCCGGATTTATAATAAAAATGCGCGACCGCTGTGTTGCGTACCTTGACGCAACTTTTCCCCCAGAAAATACAATAGATATCTACGGAGTAATCGAACGGTTCCGAATGGAAAGCTTACCGAATAGTTTCGCAATATCTACCCAGCGAAAGCTACGAGCCACGTGCGACCCGTATCCCGCGTCGTAGTCACTTCCTGAGATCTTGCGAACGGCGTCGCCGCGCGATTTTCACTCGATATTGCGATATCTCGAAGCACACAGGCTCCAATCGCAACGTGACGTAACGCGAACGTGCCTTTTCCCAAGTTTCGAATTTTGCAGACGCACTATATTGCCACCAAAGACAAACCGATAAGTGTCCAACGAACGGCGCAAAAGGTGTACGACTGACGCGCTAGGGACGGACGAGTGCGTACAGCGTCCGGACGGACACATACTGACGGTCGAGGAGAGCAAGAGAGAGAGAGAGAGAGAGAGAGAGAGAGAGAGAGAGAGAGCGCAACAGCGAGGGAAAGAGAAAGAGAGAGAGAGACAGAGGGCCCCGCCATGTGGTGCGTCTATTTCCGTGCATGCCTCGGCCGACACAACGCCTCCGAATGGACCCCGGCTTAACAGCTCCTCTTCTTGCTCCTCTCGATGGATCCGCGCCGCGAGCTCTTCATGGTCGCGTCGACGAAAGCCCACGTGAGCTTGACAGACGCGCTCACCCACGCACGCGACTTCCATCGGCTGTTCCTGGACGTCTCGGTGCCCTCCGACCTCCAGATTTCGAGATATCAGCCGACAGTGCTCGATTGTTCATTACTTTGGAGAAATATTTTTCTTCTCTAATGTGTTATAAGGAATTATACACTGTGAGAAAGATACTTGTGCGACATATAAAGTTCATTCCTGTAAAATAAAATTCATTTCTGTGAGGCAAAATTTCCACGTCGCGTGCGCGCGTGCGCGCGCGAATAAATCTTCAATTCTTTTTCTCAGAGAGTCGAAATTTTGGCCTTACGTTAAATCTTGAATTCTACAATGCAGTAGGAACTAAATTAGCAAAGTAGGTTTAATTCTAATAATATAATTTACTCCTACTTTGACTCTAATGCTGTCCGAAATTTTCCTTTTTACTTTCTTTAGCATCAAAATAAGTGGTATTATAGACTTTATTATATCAAAATAGGTATTGAATGGTATAGCGAGGCCGAAAGTAGGGCCAAAATTGCGACTCAGGAAGATTCTGCATTATGGAATATCATACGAGCTATTGGGATTAATAAATAACGTATTTTACTGTACGCGAAGCGCGTATCGTGAATAATAATCGTGAATACCGTCGAAATTATTCACGTGCCGTTGGCGCGCGCGTTTTACCGTATATATTTGAGACAACTCGAGAATAGTCGAGGGTAGGAATAAGACACGATGCGACGCGCGTGAGATGCATTGTATGCATCACGCGGTATTTTTACTATTTAATGTCGGAATCGCGAGTACGATTTAAGGATCGTCGACTACGTTTTCGGTCACGATATCCAGGAAAGTCGCCGAACTCATCTATAAATAAACTCCGATTGCCATTCGCGTATATCGATTACGCTCACCTAGTTGCCGCAACAAATCGGCTGTGCTTTGGGTATGACGGCGGTTAAAGTTGCATTTGTTCGAAGGATCGCTCGAATCATCGTCACGTGGGGTCTCAAGGATATGCGCATTCTTTCTCAATGCAGTTCTGAACGCAGCTGACGGTCTAACAAAAGAACATGTTCTCGAATAATTTCCGAATAAGTGTTTCTTATTTCTTAGATATTTCTTTTTCCCATTGTGTACATGAAACTAAAATGTTAACTTTATTCAACGCAGAGGTCTTACCTTCCATTGTATCCTCTGCTTTTCTTCTGCTTTATCTTCGTTGCGCTGCATAATGTATGTAAAAGGTTGACATTTATCCGATATTTCCAGCGTGCAATTAGAGATGCATATGATGGCAAATAGCGACCTCAGCGCACCTGTCTTTTTCCTCAGTCCTTCCTCTTGATATTCGATCTCCCTTTCGGCTGGTTCACCTGTACCCTCGTCGGGCGAGTACTACCCCTGACTAATTACCGGCAGATCGATAATCATCGATGAGGGCCGCGCACGAGACTCTTCGTGGCAGTCGAGTCTCGTCTGTGAACGAGTCAGCGTCGTGAACATCGTGGTCGTTTCAGTTGTGACGAATACAGACGATTCAAGACTTTCGATTCACTACAGCGCCGTTACCTCTTTATTTTTCTTTCAGAAAAAAGAACATAAATTTTGCGTGTCTTCAATAATGCTTTTCTTGTGGCGCGTTGTCGAGACAATGGTATTTAGGATAAAAATTGACTAAGATTTATTGTGCCATGCAAAAAAGAACTCGGCAAACTTCATGTGGCTCTACCTGCAGAAGGTGAAGGGTCATTTGAGTAAACCGTGAAAATGGCATAGCATGGGACATTAAATGCTCGTTTGTAACGTTCGGTTTTGTCAACTCATAGATATCCAAATTCGAGTGAACGAAGTCGTAGCAACGAAGCAGACTCGGTGAAGTTCACACCGCCGTTGGATGAATGGGTAAAATGGAGAAATACGAGAATATCGAGGTGGTGGGCGAGGGAAGTTACGGCATCGTGATGAAGTGCAGGCACCGCGAAACCGGACAAATAGTGGCGATAAAGAAGTTCTGGGAGACGGAGGAGGATCTGCAGGTGCGGAAATTGGCGTTTCGCGAGATAAGGATGCTGAAGGTACCTGTCGATTTAATCGAGCGCGAGGTTATATATCGTAACTTACAGAACGAAGAGAATTCTCTCCGTCGGATTTATCGCCCGAGATTATCTGTCCGTCGAGAAAAATATATCCCTTGCTTTTGCGATTTGCAAGAGTTGCGAGCCGCGATTAAGCTCGCTTCCATCGCTTCTGGCGGCAACATATCGCCGTAATGTTCCACTTAATATTACAATAATTAATATTACAAAACGACACGAAACTCTGTGCAGAAATTACGTCACGAGAATTTGGTGAGCATGATCGAGGTTTTCCGCCGTAGGAAACGGCTCTATCTTGTCTTCGAGTACCTGGACCACACCGTGCTTGACGAATTGGAGCAGACCGGCGGTGGCCTCGACTGGGGAAAGTCGAGAAAGTATATTTTTCAAATACTGCGAGGCTTGGAATTCTGTCACAATCACAAGGCAAGCAAAGCCTCTCGCAAGGCACGAGAGAGAGATTGCACGCTTATACACTGAGAGAAAGAGAAATATACACGGAAAAAATGTTTAGTTGGCTTAACTAAATTTTTGATGAGAAATATAAACAAACTAGAAAAATTCGGTTGAAGTTACAGAATTCTGTTCAAGTTAAGCAGAAAACTTGTTTACTATAAAACTGGATTCTAGTAATTTTTACCAAGATTTTTGGTTCGTTCATTAATATCAATATATATATATATATATATATATATATATATATATATATATAATTTCCTTTAGTTTAGCTCTCAAAAAGAAAGAAAGAGAGAGAAAGAAAGAAAGAAAGAGAGAAGTTTTTCGTTAAAGTTTTTAAAAATTTTCTCTTATTCTTTGTACTTTCCCTTCCTTACTTGCACAGCATTTGTGTCATACTTTTTCCATCTCCAAACATTTTTCCGTGTATAAAAAATAAAAAAATATTTATTTAATAGATACTATATATAAAATCTTTACTTATATTAATATAAAATATTTTTCAGTATTCGTACGAAATTATCGTACGAGAATCGTACGAGAATCTGTTCGAGATTCGTATCAGAATAGATTCGTACGAGATTCGTATCAGAAAGTTCTGTTTTAATATAAAATAGACAAGTAATTTAATTAAGTATAGTTATATTTTCAATATAAATAATTTTTTCAGAAAATATATATTTTCTTTTTTAAAAAATTTTACAGAAAATTTTACAGAAAAAAAATGTCCTTAGATTAATCAAATATCTAGGTGAAAATATAAATAAACTTAAATTCTGGTAACTTTAATTTCGGATTTCCCATTCGTTTGTAATTCAACAAAATTTTGTTCTGAGTAGGTTTTCATGAAAGTAATTGTTTCTTCTATTTAAATAAAAGAATGTGGATTTAAATATGTTAGTATCCATCAAATAAATTCTCTCAGCCTACTTGTTAAATCATAAAGAAATCCTCACTGCAAATTATTTTTATTGATATTACATGCACACCTTCGTCGCATATCGCTGTACAATCAGGATCTTTTGGAGTTACGTAAAAAATAAGTTTATCTGAGATTTCGAATGTAACTTAAGGAAATTCCAAATTACATGCTTCACGCGAAAAATGGAGCGTCACGGCGCTTTATACGAAAAAGAATTTCCTCAGATTAATCAAATATCTAAGTGAAAATATGAAAGAACTAAAATTTTGGTAACTTCAATTTCGGAATTCCCATTTGTTTGTAATTCAACGAAATTTTTTTTCTGAATGGCTTTTTATGAAAGTAATTGTTTCTTCTATTTAAATAAAAGAATATGGATTTAAATAAATATGTTATTAGTACCCATTATATATCCAGACGTGGATTGAGCGCGCGCGATGGAGCATTTTCGTTCGTCTCGGCAACCTTTGGTAATATACGTGCGCCTTCGTTACGGTAAAGTTCACGGCCGTGACGCTTAAATTCCACGTTGCAGTAAGCCGTGCATGTGTAGTAACATGCAACGGCCAGAGACTTAATGAATGATCGCATTGTGTGGCAAACGCGGGTAGTGGCTGCTGCCATTCCGGCAGCTTCGACACGGAAAGCTCTGACGTATGGAAAGCGCTGCGCTCTTCTTCGTTTGCGATCGTAACCCATGTTTTGATAAAACACTCACGATGTTACCGTTTCGCATAAGACTCGGATAAGTACATACTGAAAAAATTAATTTTGTACTAAAAAGTTTTGGAACTAAGATATTTAGTACATACGATTTGATTGGCATTAATATATTTTTTTATTTGTGTCAAGTAAGATGTATTAATGAGAGAGCAAAATACACAAGTGGCAGTTAAATGTTTTGGTTGCAATTACCAAACATTTCGTTGATTCTATTTTAACTAAATTCTGGTCCTGTGTACCAAATTTTCGACAACAAAATCCTTTTTTCAACTCAAAGATCGTTCCGCGAGCTTCCTCATCGCAAGGTTCGGGTTCATTTAAATTCTGCAACGCATTTCATCGAACTTTTCTGCGAATATTCTCGCGGAACCATCATTTCCAACTGGACTTCTTAGTCAGATTATGACTAAAAGAATTCTTATTTAACACGCTATGTATATACGTGAAACGCTACGCTGTTTCCTCGAGTGGAGAGCTTCCCCAGTCATTTTTCGCGTGTCTGAATAGCATGGAAATTCGTCGGCGTTTCATCGATTCTGCTTGTTTTAAATGGTCCTTGGCTTAAATGGCTCTTCTTGTTTGGCTGCCGGTCGATGCTTTCACTTTCTCCCTTCGTAGATCATGCATCGCGACATCAAGCCTGAAAACGTGCTGGTATCGCCGAACGGTGTCATCAAGCTCTGCGACTTCGGTTTTGCCCGTTACGTCACAGGGCCCAATGAGTCCTGCACCGATTACGTAGCGACGCGGTGGTATCGAGCTCCTGAACTCCTTGTCGGCGACTCCAGATATGGCAGAGCAATCGACGTTTGGGCGGCGGGTTGTCTTTACGCCGAGATGATGACCGGCCAGCCGCTCTTCCCCGGCGAGAGCGACGTCGATCAACTGTACCGCATCACAAAGGTGTTTGGTAAGTTGGCGATGAACGGCTGGATTGATCGAGCAATTCTTTCATCAATTTCCAAATTATTATGAAATCCAATTCAAATTTATTTAGTTAGAATTAAGATGAATATATAGGAAGTTAAATCCAATATTTCTTCATCGCAACATTTATATCACATTAATTTGCAAATGTAAAATTAATTAAATCAGTTAATTGATCGAAATTTCCAATAATTAAGGCTGCAAAGAGAAAATTCGCCGCATTTTCTACGCTCATTTTATATATTACAAAAGCTTTCACGAAAAAAATCATTTAGTTGAATCCAACGACATATATCTAGACCAAGCATTCATATACTTTTACTATAGCAGCGAGTGAAACCGGGAATTGGCAGTTTGTGATTGAGAGAGAAAGTTGATTTGTGTCTACTAATTTCTCACTTTTGGCTTATATGACAGCAAGAACAATACTTATCTAACTTTTTAGCTGTAAACTCTGAAAGAAAAGGTACGAATAATAAATATTAAATAATTAAGATAATAATGGTTATATTTTCTTCATATTTTACTTTTTTTCTTCGACATATTTGTCTATAAACATATACTTAACCTGACTACTGTAGTATGTACATGGAGACTCTGTCCGTATTGCTTGCACTTTTCGCACTTAGAACGAAATGGATGCATATTATTCGGATGCTGAAAGAAGTGAGAACAAAGAGTCCAAGTGTAAAGAGTGCAAAATTGACAGTCGCTCTAAGCAAGAGTGAGAAAGCAGTAGATGCAAAATATTTTCTCACTCTGTCACAAACTGCCAACTTTCGGCTGCACTTATTGAAGAGAATGTTTGGTCTTTGCATATATGTCGTTGGTTGAATCAACTAAACTTCTACGTTAAATATGATCGAATCAGAAAATCCCAGTTGCAAAATTACCAAAATTCTGCTCAAGTCGGTCAGAAATCTTACTAATATGAACAAAATTCTAGTAACTTCAACTGGAATTTTCTTTCATATTTTATCAGATATCTAAACATCTTTTTTGGATAAGCGTTCCTTGAAACTCTGCACAGAATTGCCAGAATTCAGACGTGATACCATTTCTCAATGACTCCTTGCCGAAAACAGGTCCGGTCTTCGGCAAGCATCACTCGTCGCTGAAAGGTAACAGCAGCGGTCGTGCACTTCGGCACACAAATCCGGACGAGCTCGCGGGTGCACCGCGATCCGGAATGGCGTCTCTGCGAAGCCTCTTTCCCACGTGGAGCTCGGTGACGGTCGACTTCCTAGCGCAATGCCTGCGCGCGAATCCCGAGCTTAGGCCCAAGTGCATTATGTTGCTGCAGCACCCGTTGTTCTCACAGGATGGCTTCGTCGACAAGTTCCTTGACGAGCTGCAACGGTTAATCGCGAAAGAGTCCGCGGCGAATCCCCTTGTAACCAAAAGAACGGCAGCGTCCTCCAGGATCTACCGTAGCAGCATCGGAAGGTCAGTCCGATGACAAATTGATCCGTCGACAAAGCGAAACGTGTAGCCATTAGTTACTGAAGAAACGCCTAATCTACCGTCGTAAAGTAACGACTTCGAATATTTGGTTAACTCGTTGCGCACCAAGCGTTAACTCGCTCTCCCCTATGACCGCGTGTAACTTGTGACGTCTCCAGGTGGCAGATGACGCTGATCAAAGAGAAGAGGTCGACGAACAACAACGTGGAGACAGAGGCTGAGAACGAGGAGCCGCAAGGAGATCGAGTCGATCGGCCGTCACCGCCGCAAATCAATCGGCCGCGCGACACGCATTACTGCGGACCGGTCTCCGTGATACCAAACACTACGTACATTCGACGTCTGGAGCATAAAGGGCTCTTGATTCCCAACGTGAAGGGTTGCATCCTGCCAGCTCTAACGTTAAAGACGAACGCCAAGAGGAAAAGGCTCGATCTCCCCAGTGTGAAAAATCGTTGAGTAAGATCTATCGAATATACGATTTTCTTTTTTCTGTTTTCTTCTTTTCTCGTAATATTAATGTGAAAGAAAGAGTGAAAAGTTTGTACAGAGGAACGTCGTTGTACGTGGCACGTTTCTCTCTCCCTCAATAAAGAGTGTATATATTCTATATGTGTGTGTGTGTGTGTGTGTGTGTGTGTGTGTGTGTGTATGTATTCTATAAGTAAATCGGTATATAAAACGTCGATGATGTGCGAAGATGTTTAAGATGCGATTCGTTTCCACTGTAAAAAAGAATGAATTTCGAGAAAATTTATCTTTATTTTACACACCGGATATTGAAGCCACACATATAGATGTGTGCTGTGATTAAATTATTTCTGTATGTTATCCGTAGCATCCTTAACTTTCGCGAGAAGGAAGAGTCGGATAACGCGAGAATAGTAATCGCTGGTATCGCGAGAACAATATGCAAAGAGAATCGAGTAGTTTTGTTTTATTTTTTTCCACTTCCTTTCTTTTTTCAGGGAGAGAAATAACGACTCCAGTCATCTGACATATTTAAGGGGTTTTTATTTCGGAATTGCATCCATCTTTGAAATATATAATTAATATCTCGCAACGAACGCGTTGACCCCGCAGCAAATGCGACGGGAAGAAAGAAGGAATCTTCGCCGGACGCGAAAAAATCACCGACACATATTTCTGTCTTCGTTTTGTTCATTTTTTTCTTTTTTTCTCGTCGGCTGACACCGTGTCGAAACTAAGAACTCGAGAAGATGAGAGAACATGGTTTTTTTACGGTTTCTTTTTTTTGTATCACTTGTTTTCGACGTTTTTTCTCTGTCGGAATATTTGTCAATAAATTTCTCCCCATATCTTTCTCGCTCCCTTATTCTCACACGCGCTCCCCATCTCTTTTCTCTCATAAGCTTAAATTATATACAATTAAATATTTTGCACATATCACGGTCTTTAGAATCACTAACCTGATTTACATATATTTTTAATCAATTTATTTTCTTTATTTTATTCTTCTTTTTTTCAATCACAAATCCCGCGGAAACTAAAGTTACGTCACAGTCGTAGAGCGCGACCATCTATTCGGAAATTTTTTTTTCTTGCGGTGCCCATTTTACTCTTGGCATCGGCTTCCAATAATATTACTCGTAGTACACCATGACCGTGCTTCATACAAATGCCGACGTGCCTCTTAGTCACTCGAATTTCCTAATTTCAAGTTACTCCAAGAACTTATGGCATTACAATTACGAATTTAAGTTTCACTGTAAATTATCATATCAGTAATCATATTATTTCGAGATTGTTACGCTATATTGTATAATTTTCAATTGCACTTTAGATTCATATTGCACGACGTAACAAACTTTTCTCGCACACACACACTCCTCTCTTCTCCATATCTTTCTTCCACTACTTGCCCCTCTCTCTCTCTCATTCTTTCTCTCGTTTTCTCTCTCTCTCTTTCTTCTTCACGCAAACGTACACATACACATGCACACGCACTCGCGAACACTCGCACACATAGTTTTCCATCGGTTCTCATCCGTCTCGTCCTTCAGAGTCGCCTCTGAATATCACGCAAATTTTGCCGCTTCTCTCTGGAAACCGATCAGCTTCGGAAACCGACCAGATTCGCGGGCGCGCACGCGCTAGTCGCGTGTTTTGTTGTTAATCGTGGACAGCTATATCGCGTAGGTTCCGGACGATTACCCCGCGCAACAAACAATTCGCTCGTTGGTCAGCGACCGAAGAAAAATCGCGTAACGTTGCTTCGCGTTCGTGGAGGACCGTCATAAGGCACTTTCACCTGCACTACAAAATTGTATTGTTAGATGAACATTTATGCGTGTACGCTAAGAACGCTTGTGCGCTACTTTCGGTATCAATACTTCTTCCCTTCTCTTTCTTTTCCCCGCCTTTCCTTCTCACCTTTCCATTTTTCGAAAGTCACTATTAGTACTATCCGCTAAAACGCAAAACGCACGACCCGACGCGAACAAGGACGCACCGAGACGAGAATTCGCTAAAAGGCATTTAAGTGCAAGGGCACTTGCTCGAATTGATCATTTACTCGCGGATGCACGTCATTATGTCTTCACTGTCATTTCTCGCTCGTAAACATACTCGTGAAAAAAAAAACTCGCGTTCTCGCTCTTCTCTTCTCGCTTTTCTTTTTCTTCTACGTCGTTCGAGCGCGATTCGATTTGCGACAAGGGTTAATCGTCTGAAACACCCCATATAATAACGTGCGCGTACGCGACCAAATCGGGATTTCCGAAGCCAGTCTCGGTAGAGTCCTCAATCTCCCAATCGTCAAATCGTCCAAAAGTCTCCCCCGTCTTCGCCGCGAGCGAAGGCAAGTCGCATCTTCTCGAAGCTCGAAACCACGAAATCCCTTCCCTTCTCGTACCGGTCGCCGGATTTCCCGCGGAAGTCAGTGCAATAGAGTCAAATTATCGCGTCGTATGTGTTTACCGCGTCGCACGCATCGCAGAGCGGCGACCATCGCACCTTCCAAGTTAGCGGATAATTATTGGAAGAGAGAGATAAAAAAGACGTTTTTTTCCGTTTTTTTCTCTTTTCTTGTTAGTTAATTAGAGTTAGTTAGAGTTAGTCTACTCGAATACTGAGATAGTGACTTTTTCTTCGTTTATATTTCTCGCGCGCGCGGTAACATGTAAGCGATCTATATAGTCAGGAACGATAATACGAGAGGAATTATGAATCTTTTCTTTCTTTCGTTCTTTCTTGCTTGCTTACTCGCTTGCTTGCTTGCTTGCTAGCTTGCTTGTTTTCTCGTTTTTAACGTTACACACAAGTCGAGAAGGTGACGTATCGTCGCCCAGCGGATCGGTCGACGAGATCAGCGTCTCAAACAATCAGAGTGACTCAAAGCGTCGAATACCTCTCTCACTTCTTTCGGAGTTCGTCCTTAAATTAAGGAGGGTAGACTTTCGACATTCGTCGGCTCAGCCTTGATGCCTGCACTCCGTTCTTTTGCGTCTTCATTAATTAATATTTTATCTTCTCCGTGTCTCGGATTTTTATCATTATTCTTTTTATTATGAATATCTCATTAATATCTTTCATATATTATTATCGTTACTATTATTATATTATGATTATTACTTCATTATTGTAATTAATAATATTAATGTTATTGTTTTCTTATTATATATATATTAAATTTTTAATTACTATGTATTTAAATAATTAAGTAATAAGTGTTACATTATTATATTAGTACTGTGTTATATATATATATATA